CTCACACGATTGGCAGATATCAGTTATTCCAAAAAATTCGCTATGAATATTATCATTTCTCACTAGGAGCATGCATGGTCACGAAGATTGGAGTTTGCACCGTAAAATTGGGTTCTCCTGAAAATTTGTGGCCCAGCTTGACGTTGATTTGTTTGATAATATATGTTACGATGGTCAATAATGAGTTTTCGTAGTCAAGGCTAACCAGTTCAAGGCTGATCAGGTGCATGTGTTTTGTACTTTGCCCATGGTGACCTTTGCTTCCAATCAGTCCTTCGTATCGTCTTTGAGTAGACAAACATGTGCTATCAGCTGGTCGTGCTGATGTTGATAACACTTCTTTCTGATATTCATCTTCAATAGTGTATGGTATGTCTTGGTGAACTCAGGAAGCATTGTCTGCTGATGGAATTATCTCTCGTTCGTAACAGTGGTATGTAGGTATATGCGTTTTGAAATACAAATCGATAAGTAATAAGAACCTAAATTTTGTGCGTGTTTATATATATATATATATATATATATATATATATAGTGCATGTCTGTGTGCGTGTGTATTTGTGGGTGTGTTGGGGTGTTTGCGTTCCCATAAGCCTTGCAAATAAACTGAGTTTGCAGAAATTTCGAGGAAGATTTGAAACACTCAACATAATGATCCATGTAACACTTTATCATACTACGTCTTTACTGATTTTCAGTATTGTAGTGATTTTGGTACTAAAGTAGCCCTGAGTCTATTCGCTTCTTTCAGTTATCTTTTCCACATTTCCAACGTATCTCCCATTTTATCAAGCACCAAACTAATCGAGCAGTCTCATTTCGATTTTCTGTTTATTTTCCCAGTTGGCCTCAATTCTATTAGTACCAGATGCCATCAGTGTCAGTTGTTACTTCACCGTATATTCATTTATATCTGACTGGTCAACTTGTGTTGTATCTGTTTTGTTCAGGTGCACCTTAATACCCCTGCTGAAACTGAGACACAACACTTCAGCAAACCCCTTCGGCAACCAATGGTTCGGCATATGCAATACATGGCCTAACCAAACGTCGCCTGCACAAATAAATTGCTGTGTGCTAAACCTGGGCTGACCCGTCTCAATAATGTTGTCTGTTATAAAGAGCAGACGGTAGATAACACTGGGATTTTCCGTGTCAAACTATGTTTAAGTGCATACAAACGCACTGTCCTGTGGAATGAAAATAAAGAATAAAAGAATGGAGGTCTTAGGGGCTTGATCAAATGAATGTTTCTATTAGTAGGCGCAGTTTAGTAAACTTAAACAGCTAACCAACGCAGCGCCAGTTCAACTAACCACAAGCACGTGACACCCACTTTTGATGCCTCCTTCGCTTTGCTACTCTGAGAGTGCTGTTAATCAGTGTAACACCACACCGGCTCCCAGAACACTTCAGACAACGTTAGCCAAGCAGTCAGGCAGCGGATAGATGGAGTTCATCATAGAAGATCATTTCTAAAAGCAAATCAGTATCACTTTCTCAACGACTATTTTCCTGACGTATCACATCGCTCGGATAGAGACGGACGCACGGGTGCTGTGACTTCGGTTTTTGCTGATGGAACGCTGGAAACGAATTCGCCCGGTCCAGTGAGCAATTTCAGCATCGTTAAAAAAGCCTGGCTTTTCAGTAAGTCCCTCAATATCATTGGCCTGTAGCAGAAGTGCAGAATGACTGTGCCACCACAAATCGGTTGAAGTATGACGGCTATACTCACTCGGAGATATTGAATACCGATGTTTACTCGTTCTATTCATGTCACGCATACGTCTACTGAGATTGCTGCATACACTCGTGTGAACGTACTGTCATAACATCCATACATGCGTCGGTCTTTATCTTTCATAACTTACACTATCCATTCCCACGGTAACCACTCCATTTGGAAAAAGTCAGGTTATGAATTAGATTTGAGTATTTATGGGACGGGCGAATTTCCGAAGTTGAATTTTTTATACATTAAAGTTCAAGTAGATGATCTGGCAAACAAAATTATATATAAATATAAACCTAGGCATTGTATCTCTTAGGTTTCGTCACAAAAATACACTTTGAATCAGTGCGATAGGTTGCTTTCGTTGCCCTCTTTTGGATCTCGTTGGTCGGTGGACTAAAGTCTTTGTGCTTCAGGTACTTTCATGAGAACGGATGTGATCCTCAGTTTGCTTCAGTATACCCAGTTTATAAATCATCAGACACCCAAAGGGATTCATAAGTAGTTCGGAATATATTCTTGCTTTAGTTAAATGCAGAAAAACCCACACAGTTAATTTGTTGCCTAACAAGCGTGTCTTCCGGAATTTCAAGCGATAATGAACGCAGGAGAGCGAGTGAGTTGGATTTCACAAGAGCCCATACAATGCTATCATAACAGGACGACGGCCTACTTGCCGTTAATAGATGCTGCCGTATTTCCACCAGACAGGTGCCGTTTGTGTCGGATGGTCATAAGCAGTCGCCCATAAGCAAAGCATATTCTTGGCCGCGTCGGAACTTGAATCCAGGACACAAAATGTACGTTAGTCAAAAAGAGTCGGATGGAGCATTGTACGTCTTCACTGCTCTTGACAGAAGTACGATAAACTAGTCGAATTGAAATACATAGATTCAAACGTATTGCTGTAAGCTGTTCAATAGAACAATCAGGCGACTCATTCAGGAAAACTAATGATATGAGTTAAGCATCTCTTACGAGATTTTCGTTGGTTTCACACCGAGAACAGAAACCATGCAGCTTCTTAAAAGGCGTAAGCTGTCTCACTTTCACCGATATGCAGCTGCATACATAGCTGCTTCATTGGGCTTACAAAACTGACATGCGAAAATAAGAAGTATGTAAGTGGCCATAAGTTTTGTGCCGTTTGTCTCAACCTGATCACGGGAGAATTTATTTGCCCAGTGCGGCCTCTTGTTTTGGATTATTACTAGCGCGGAATGATATTGCTGATTAGTCTTTCGTGTGCAGAGGCATTATCGCCACCTCTGCTCCCTACGCCTGTTGTGTCGGACCTTCCTTTGTTACGTCTTTCAACACCACACAGCTCGCGGTTGAGGAATGTGTCAGAATCGCGAGTCACGCTTGCCGTCACGTGATCATTTTAAGTAGATTTGTCTGCAAATGTGCCAGCAGCAATCAATGGAAACTTGTCATCTCGACTGCTTGCCATTCACAAGTAAGTCAAGACAGTCAGAGACAGACAAGTAGGAATCTAATGATATGAGAATCAGCAAACCGATATTATTTCGCCGCACATCATTTCACACACCTCTGTCTAAAAGGGTTAAGAGAGAAGTATAAAAAAACTGGTGCTGCTACTCACGGCGAAGAAAATCAGGAGTGGCGAGTATTGCTTGTAGATTCAAGCGCGCGGAATCGCTATGAGAAAAACGGGGGAAAATTCGGAATTCCTGATTTGGCACAGAAGTTGATCTCAACCTTCATTGATTAAGTGCACTCCTAACGTTTGAAGATCTTAAAAGGAGAAGATGTTTATATGTATGAGCAGTTATTGTCGGGCACCCATCTTTGTTTACTATAATTCGACCTTGAGCGCTTACCCATAAAATCCACTTGAGTTTTTCTGAATTTCGACAGACGAAACAGGACTGTAGAGTTGATCTGTTCGAATGACGGGGAGGTGTGTGGCCATCCTCGCCATCCCTACACCCTTCCTATCACAAAAGCAAATGATTCTGGGTCATGTGCCTGTCAATTATCTGACCGATAGGACTTATGCTACCGCTTGCAATAAACAAAATGACACCTTGTTAAACCCACGAGATCTTTTCTGCGTATGAACAACGTCATATTGGAAAAGAGGCGATGCTCCCCGAAACCTTATTAAGCCCCTAAACTTTATTCAATCTGTGTCTCCAAAACACGCATACAATACCCACGAGTGGTTATGTGTCTCAGAACGTCAAGGATGAACTCAGCTGGCGTGAGAGTTGCACTGAGCCCCGGGGCTGAGTGCGCTCTGTTTAGTCGTCTTTGTGTCGTGCGGTCATCCAAACTTCATGTCACTCGACTTAAAAAGTGGTGTCTGTTTGTAGTGTTGGCTCATGCTCCAAGGGACTGCAGTTCTGATGCTGAGAAAGATACGGGCTCATTCGTCAAGCAAAAAAGCACTGACTTTGTGATCCTTGCGGCTGATATGAATGCTCAATTGGATTGTATAACCTCAACGAAATCACATTCTGGCAGTTCATTCGGAGTCCGTGTTCGACGCACAGACAACGGAGAGTCACTACTCCAATTATGTGCTGATTATGAATTGAATCGGGTCAGTACGAACTTTCGGTGTAAATATTCACATTGCGTAACCTGGAGGCCACCAAATGCAAATTAGCCGTGGATCCAGTTGGATCATGTGGCCATCAGTCAACAGCGCAGATCTACAGTTCAAGACCGCAGTTCCTTCTGGGGGACAAAACCTGACTCCCGTCACGCTATGTTGCGCGCAATCCTGATGGTTCCTTTACCCTCAGAACCTTGCAAGCCAGCAAGAAGCATGCCGATCCACTGTCTTCGAAGAACTACCATAGCCCAACAGCTCTCCACAATAAACCAATACTGTACTGGTAGTGAGCACGTGGATTAGAGTTTTTGTAGGTGAAAAAATATATGACTCACTTAACGCAATTGGTTATTGCGCGAGTTTACTGGCCGGAAGGTCCGTGGTTCGTACTCGACATCTGCCTCTCGATCTCCCCTGTCTGGGCTTGGGAAACCTGGCAGTATCCTACCCTCGTGCTGGCTTGGGAAACCTGGCAGTATCCTAGCCCTCGTGCTTCCTTCGGGTTGCATTGGAGCTAGGCACCGAATAAGTGTTATAGCCGAAAGATTTTTCTTCGAAAATTCGGTTTTCTCTGTTGTAAAGAGATTTCACCAAGTTTTCCCTACTAACTACTATATCGTGTCAGAAGCTGTATTCTTCCGGCATTCTTTCAAACAAATATTTCCTATTCTATGTTATCAGGGCAATATTCCTCCACATACATCGCCGGAGGTTGCAGCAGTCAGCAGTAAAGTGAAACCGGACGATCTTTTCGCCTTCCCGAAACCCTTTGCACCGATGAACTCAACGTTAAAGGTAGTGTCAAAAAATTTCTTGTAATCTTATTCTGAGGACTTCATCAAAGACTTCACCAGGTCTGGTAACGGTGTGAATTTCAGAAATTTTCTGACCAGTGTAAGAGAAAAAACAGCACATGCCCCAGGGAGAATTTAACTTTTGAAAATGCATCGCGTTTAACCTATCAACATGTTTTAGTGTGATAGGAGTAGAGACAGCTGAAATGCTCATAGAAAGTAACAGATAGTTTTACTTGAGAAATTATGGGAAGCTGAATTACAGTGCATTTGTCATGCACTGTATAAATTATCGTCTGCTATGTTTAAATCGTGAAAACAATTGTTAGCCTAACATAAATGACCAAATATGACTCGTTGGTTACCAGTGATGATGGGAGGAGCGAATTTGTTTACTACTCGATGAGATTCTGCGTTGGAACCTTACCATCTTTATCATAGAGAGTATAACATCAGTACTGAACCCCTATGCTTCCCTGCTGCAGGACCATGCTTCATTTGAAAGCCCAATTGCGAACAAACCGATAAAAATGGATGAAGAAAGGACTTATTTCAAGCTACCAAAATCATTCCAAGGTGTCTAGACCTTCAGATAAGCATTGAGACAATGTGGATAGAAACTGCGCCACTATGAATTCGGTAAGGAAAACAACTATGTTTGTCTGGCGATGACTTGGCATGCGCAACACACGACCTAACCACCACAGCTCCTGGTGTTGGACACATTCTTCGATGGAGGTTCTGTTGTACAGACCCATAATCATTTTTCAGTTGCCTCGCTCTGGATTCGTCCACACCACCCTAAGCGATATGCGTTCTGAGATAACGGTTGTCGAAGATCTGAAAACGTATCAATTCGGTTGCTTAAAGAGGCCATATCTCACAGCGACACAACAAGACGCGTATTCCAGTCTGAGAGACAAGTTCCTTTAGGTTCGGGTATATGCCATTTTGCCATCATAGGGGTTTGCAACGAGTAAATAAGGTTTGGAGATCCGTGTATTAACCTCATCTGTCACACTACACGGAGTTAATAAAACTTCCAGGATACTAGAAATTCGTAACATGTTTGTAGCGTGAGGATAACTGACAGAGTGTTGCCAGTCTAACTGACTGACGTTTAGAATGAATACTTATGAAAGTATGAATTTAAGGAGGGGTGTTGGTCAACGTTTGTCATAGAACACTTAGAAACTTGACTGAGCAGGTAGGACCGAGAATCTGAACATCTCTAGAATGACGATTGCTTTCCTAATGAATCTCCCCTTGCCTAAAGCTAATGTATTTCTTCTGAAGGGACACTTCGCAGTGCTTTCTCGTTAGTCAGTGAGCAAACTTAATTAAGCAGACCATGTGTGCATCAAAAATGATTGCATCCCAGTTCAGAAGTTGGTGAACTCATCTAGATTCTAAAGATATTACTGTTCCCAAAAAGCAACGCACAAGATGAAGTGAGCATATTAAGTCTTATTTGTCACCAGTTGAAATCAGCCAGTGAAACTGAGGTTCGTTATAATAGCAAATTCTTTCTCACATGTGCATATCTAATCACCAGCAAGTAGAGAGGATTTTATTACAGTGATGGTAGTTTCTCTGAAGAGGAATGAAATTGCACCAACTTAGATCCTCTAAATATGTGCGTCTGTCTTAATACCGTAACCTAAAATGTATAGGCCTAACTTGAGGAGTGAAGGTGCGATTTAGTATACACCCTTTCTCTGTTTACGTTGCACTCTGCCATACTACCTGGCTGAACTTTGATATACATTTCGGTTTAACAGATAGGTAGTTAGCCAGCCATAACAATAATTGTACCAAAGTCGAAAGTGGCATTTAAGTGTTCTGAGCTTTTGGCGTGTGCAAAACAAAGGAAGTGATGAATCAGAATCTTTGCAGTCGAAAACATCTTGGAGAAACTAACGTCAATCGACGCAAGTTTTCAATTGCAGATGGACACACGATGGACAGGAAACTTAGAACGGACGAGTTGCAGCTCACTAGCGGGGCTGTTTAGCTTTTCTAGACACTGGTCTGGTATATGCCAGTGCTTGAACAATCAAGGTATGCTACTTTCGTTCCAAGCAGTGAAGTTTAACGCGTTGACTATTTTGATTTCTTGCTACGAGATAAGCAAGCTAAAGTTAGCTGACTAAGTGAGATAACACAAAATTAAACAAGTTGGGACGTAATGACCATAATGAATACTACCTCAAAATTACGAGTTTCGGCTTGGAGGGGTATATCAAACCTTTGATAAAGAGGTCAAGTAAAGCATACGGCAATTTCATATCACACTGTGAGAATGCAACCTTCCTTCTAGTGAATACCAGTGGGTAAGTGGAATAGATAATGTAATAATAATGTAACAATATTGTAGTAATAATAATGAATGGATAATGCATTTACGCACAACCTTAAGTTCATGATATGACAGTACTTTCAATTTAGACCCAGTTACAGTCAGATTAATGTGTTTCCAGACCTACAGTAATAAGTAAGCTTCTGTGTGATGAGAGTAACTCAACTAGTTGGCTACTACATTGTTCACCTGTCCCTCTGGTGCGTTATAGGAAATACCTGCAGAATTACGACTCTGACGGTATGTTTATCGTAATTTGAATTAAGTAAAAGCCTTGGTTGGGTTGCTATCCCCCATGTTTATCTCTTCATTTGTGTTTCATGGTTCAGCTTCCTGTTGAAGCTTTTCAACCCTTTCTAGCTCTATGGCAATCTATACATTAGGAGTAGTTGTGTGACGTATTGTGTAATTTCACAAATGCCAGTAAAAACGCAAAACAGTTTTCGAGATCTCCAGGTGTACCGCTGCAGCTGACAGCGACTCACGATGGCTATACTGCCTAACGGTCGCTAAACTCAATGTGAAATGTGTGAAATGTGGCTCAGCTGCTTGAGAACACATCCAGTAAACTCGGGGCTATTGGTCTCGTTCCACCTTTTACGTTATGGCATTCGAACTTCCCACTGTGCACAACGCATTGACAATTCCCTGTGTGAAGTTTAGGACCAAGTGGTTCTTCCAGCTAACGCACTACTATAAACTAAGGCGTCCGTCTATAGCTGGTCGGGTTATACAGAAAACAAATCACAAATGTGCTTATTTATGGGAGCATTACAAAATTTATCTGATAAAGTGTATCTGTGCTGGATCTCCATGAAATATGTATTTCTTGGAGAGGAAAAAGGTGACCTTCTTTCACAGAGCCTTTAGAATTCCATTGACAGTAAGGTTGCTACACTTTCCAGAGTATAATACCCACTAGCGATCCAAATCATGTGAACCTTGAGTTGAAAAGAAAAAAGCCTATGATAAGTGATGGAATTCTATGCTGATTTACTATCTAACTCAGCTGTCAAAGTGTCAAACACTTATAGCGTACACCTCGTGACAGCACTCTGTGACCCTCCTGTATTTCTAGTCATAACTTCCATAAATTATCATTTCACTGAGACCATCTACCTTGCAAATTTCAGACTTTATATTAGGATGCAAACAATCGGGATGGATACAGAAGAACAGTCACGACGTAATCAAATAACTACCCTGATTTTGTTCCTGGGTTTTGACCCTTGTTTAGGACATGAATTGTGAGACGTAACGTTTATTTTCGAAATCGTCTTGTAACATTCTTGAAATTCTAGCTCATCCCGACTGAAATGAAAATAGCCGAATGTGAGATCAACCAGGCGATGGTTACACGTTATACTCTAAATCTCGTGTAAGTAGTGGGAAATCCACTGACACAGCTTAACTGCACATCAAACCTGTCAATTTTGATAAAAGGATTTCAGGTTCATGTAGCTCTTATGGGGTACACTGGAATGTATCAAATTAAGAAGGGGTCTGTTTTTTCAGGAATGGGGATGCAATAGACAAATTTTCGAGATATCGCAGTATATTTCCATAAGGAAACTACTTACAAGTTTGCTGAAAACTCTTCGACAGCCCACGACCGGTTTTCGAATATCGTGGCAACTGGGGCCGCCTGTGTGCAGCACTTTCAGTTGTAGAATATCGTAAACGAGAGATTCAGTTGAGTCTCTCGTGAAAACCAAATTGATTTGCAAATGAGTGTATTTCTCGAAAATTGAAGGTTTCTTCAAGATGCAACAACTATTGAAGACAGTAAACGAAGTTCTCGTAGGTCAAATACGGTCTAGGCAACTAGATACAAGAAATGCTATGTTTTACCCACCTACTTTTCCAGCTATCGTCTATCGATCTATTTTGCACGCCCTGTCGACTAATCCGAACATTCTGTTTTGAGAAAGCATGGGCACTGATAAATTCGCTTCTGACTGGATAAGAGGGTAATAAAAATCGATTTCCACTGATATATGATTGGAATTAAGAGATAATCTTAACTATTTGCTGATCAACGTCTCCTTGGGATCCGTACATTGAGCCTCTGTTATCAGTGTGCTCACACACCTCAATGCCATAACGTGGTGACATGTCTGGCATTGTCTACAAGTCGCCTGGTGAGAATTTGGCAACATCCACCACTCATTCATCAATGAATAAGCCCACATAAAGGTATCTGTGTATGTATGCATATGTACGTGTGATTGACTGGGATGTGATCCGTCTAGTCACCGGAATGTCTAGTCAGCAGTGCCTTGTTGTGAGTGACAGGTTTGCTGAGTGTCAAATTCTCCGTGGCAACTCGTCACCAGATCCTGATATTGAACTCAGAAGAATCCAGAGAACATATTTGCATGTTGCATAGGGAGCAGTTTACCAATACTGTCACTGTGTTTTTATCTTACAACAAGTTCACTTCCTGCTTGTGACATAAATTACTTAATTGTCTATCAGTATGCTGCTGAAAGGATCATACATAATCTGATCTTAATCACTCTGAACTGTCACAGTAGATGGCGAACCAAGTATTGATTTATTATGAAGTTTGATTTTACAGGTATACCATCATCAAGGATATGCTTTCCGTGTCGCATTATCAGGAGGAACTTTCGATCAGGTAGAGTAGGAGGGTCATCATGAACCACCGTAACAGTCATACTTAAGAGCTAATAAAAGCTGTTTTTATCACGGATACTATTACGTATTCTACTAGCAAGTAATATCTCGTTACATCCATACGTTGCTTCCCGAAAAATCAAGGCGATTCGAATGATGGAACCCTACTGGCACCCTCTTCAAAAATATCGGCAAACGTCGATATATATGCACTGATTATATGCATTTATATATACACTGAAGTTCCCCTACCCCAATCAGTGGACAGAACTACAAAGGGTAGTTTAAAGATAATTCCACTGGTCTTGTCATTTAGCGCTAATGTTCAACGGTGTATGACAGCTAAGTGTGTTCCCTTAGTTGAGTCTACGGAACATGCAAATACTCCATCTTTGATTAGTTAGGTATCTGGGTCTATCTCGTTTTTTAAGGTGCACCAACTTCACACAACCTGTCAGTCGAACTTACACAAGCCTCTTTGCTCGCAAGGCTTGACACCTGCCAGTCATTGGTCAATTAGTCTCCTATTGACAAAATCTATAACTTCATTATAATCGGCATCCTAAATAAAGATTACCAAAAGCTTAAATTGGATGGCGCTATAACATGTGTAAAAGGTAGTACTCACACCAGACCCAGTATGACGGTCACTTTGTGCCTGATGTGCCAGTCTTGACTGTGCTAGCGCACACTGCGCCTTGAAGAGCATTCACCATTGTTTGTCCTTTCTTTGGTTGTTGGTCCTTAGACGCGTGTTCCCATACCAAAATCTTTACATACTTTGGGATTCACCTCATCAGACTGGCACTACCCTTGGCATGATCTCTCTTTTCTCCCATATTCTCCTGTTACTCGTTCGCATTCATCGCTTGCACTCACTTTTTATGTTTGTGACCATGCTCTTCAAAAATAAATGATAATAGTATTCGACCAGTCAAGCAAATACAAGTAGCATTTTTTACATACTTTGCACATTTTGAGTCCACACGGACCATGTAGTTTCAATAAAGCTCACTGAATTATTTTACCCGCAGAAATATCTGCAAGAAATCAAGTAACACATGAGTGGCCTCACCGGATGAAACATTTACAAATAGCTATAAGCTGAACGTGAAATATCTCTTCTGGAAAACAGTGATGATTTGACGCGCACTTTAAAGAGCACGTCTGTCGCCTTATTGAAACAATCCATTTCTACGACCCTGCTTTCCGCCCATTCGAACATCGAAAGTCGGCATACCTGCTTTCAGTAGAGGTCACCTTAGCTCTGTGAAAATTTTCTTTCTCAGCTGCCAAGCTCCCAGTGACTATGCTTACAAAGAATCTGCCAGCCGCCGCGGAAGACGTCCGACAATAAAGTTTTGTGAGCGTCCAACTTATTGAGATTCATACTGATATTAGTCAGCTGCAGTCCTGGAGCACTGTACCAGCGAAAGCACGCAGATGAAGACGTCCGACGAACTGAACTTCAGACTGTTTGCTCTTCTCCATGTATTTTACAAAGTTTTGGGAGCCACCGAGGCAGATAAGCTGCGTGCATACCCTTAAAACAACTTTAGGGGTGTTACAGAAATGATTTGGCGTACAAAATACCGTTCGAACGAATATTCTTATCAACAGAAACTCTTAAAAAAGATCAACGGATGAATAAGCTGATGCCGATATCACTAGTCTTGACAGCTTCGAAGCTGTCAAAACCATATTACCCTAAATTAACTTGTCATCTGCGGTATTCGTTATGCCCATTCATACCAAGACAAACCACTTTATTGGTCGAAAGATAACCTTTCCGGTGAAAGGACTAACAGTCACCTCTCATCAGTCCCATATGGGTCCCTCAGCTCCATCACAAGGGACCTCGTTCCTAACAATACCCGTGTATCAGAGTATGGACTCAGTTTTGTCGTACGGTATACGTTCTTTAGAATCCATAGTTAAACCTCAGCGTATCCGTCCAACCGTCAGCCAAATGCAGCATTTAACTATGGATTAGTTATGTCACGCAATGGTTTAACTAAGAGGATATCGGCCATTTCGAATGGCCTTGCAAATGAACATACTCTTGTCTATTTTGTTTTGCTGCACCGCAAAATATGGCTTTTCATAGAATGTGAGTTACCTTCATTCACGAGTCCCACTTCGGGGCTACTGAGATGCGTCTGGCACTGCTAAGTCTCTTTAGGAAGGGAGTAAGTACGCCCTTTTGAATATAGGGAATAAGCTAATATAAGACTTATCTGGATAAAAACTGGATACATTCTGAAATAAAGACTAAACCAATTGCACGGTGAACCGTATGCGCATATCAGGCGGCATAATGGAACACCCTGCACTGCACATACACAATTTATAAGTAATTGGCAACTTCAGATTCTTGAGAAATCGGACTAAGTTCTGCATTCAACTCCATAATAACCAAGCCGTAGTTGGTTTAATGTTTGTCCGACCACACAGCTAATGAACAACTGCACATGAGGGTTGCACATACTTACAAGTCGCGTGACCCTACTGTCTGCGCGGCCCGGCCCGGCCCGGTCAAACTCACTCGACCAGCAGCTAACTTATGTGTTTGATCCTTTATTGTCCTAGTGACATTATTTCTGACTAAGTGGAAGAAGTTATCTTGTGGTGTGCTGTTCAGGATGGTATGTTACTGTCCGTCATTAGTTGGGATACATGAGGATCTGTTTCATCTGTTTGTAGGCGGGTGAATATATCAAAAAATGAAAGCAATGAACTGAACAGATGTATCCAATAATCTGCAAAACGATTATGTTTTAATCGGTTGTAAGCATTTCGTACTTAAATCGCAGCCCTCCTGTCTGTTTCATCTGGTGTAGGGTGAACCATGCCTGGCACGTGTAGTATTCGGCTGTTAACTGCAGTTAGGTGCTGACGGATCATTAAATACGCTCGAAATGCAATAGTTATTTGGCTGGGGAACTATACAACTTAGTGCCGGAAAATAACTAAAGTATGGAAAAATCTCCGATTGCATTCCAGACGAACTGTTCATACTTTCGTGGGTGACTTTACCGAGAATATTCGATGTGTTTTAATACTACTGGTCAGTGTAACCCAATAACATGTCATAGGTTGTCATCTTCATTCAATGAGCACTTACACAGTGTACTTTATCACAGCAATTTTATGCCTCGAAAACTAAAGATCATTACTTCTCCATAGCACATGGGAGCGACGAATGAAACGGTCGGCTGTCGGGATGCTCCACCCAATGTTCGACCCGGAGTGACCACCAGTGAGTCACCTGTTGGAATGTTCAACTCGGCGCCGTTTCCGATTACCAATCTCGTACCAATGCAGAATGACAAGGTGGGTGCTTGTTTTATGATATTCACCGTCCACCCGGTTTGTAACATATTCGAATTTTTGTAGCTATTGTTGAAAGTAGTAGCATAACGGTGCAAGACTAGCGTCATCGCTCGTCCATAGCCAACCATTGAGGTTCACCATCCCAGTTTGCCTGATTCCTGTGAAGTGATGCTGATAAGAATACCAGCAATCACTTAGTTTATGGAGAAGTAATTGGAGCCGACTGTGATTTCGCTCCAACTCTTACCTGCCCAGCCGCATTCTAAAACTCATGTACATGTCTTTCCCCTTTCGGCAACTGCTATTTCTATGCGTCTTGCAGTATGTTGACAGTATGTTTCATTTTTCTGACCGAAAGGATTAAACTAGCTGCTTTCATCTTGTTGTTCATGTTCCGTTCAAGTGGTTCAAATGTACCCAGTGCTTCATACAAACTACGGTCTGACAGGAAGAAACTGTGGGTATCACGCAGTGCACTTTGTATCATATTGTGTTATTAGTTCAAAACCCTAGGCTCAAAAGTGAATACGATTCCATCTGCAAACTAATTTGGTTCTTTCGAGAGACTCACCTGGAACCCAGCTGAATCTCTCGTTTATGATGTTCTCAGGCAACTGAATGTGCTGCACCAGGCCGCCTCATGTTTCAGTCGCTACGATATTTGAAATATCGCGATACATGTATATTTGTAATGTACTACTCATAAGGTTGCTGAAAATCCATCGACAGCCCACGACC